CAGTGACTGTGCCGACGACACCACCCACGGCCACGACTCCCACTACGGCCAACACGGCCACCACCCCCGATGAGAAAGACTTCCGTCAGCAGCCCAAAGCGGGCACGCGGGCCTTGTTAATTGAAAAGGTAAGTCCGATTAAATTTTAATTTTGAAATAAAAATTTAACAAAATTCACTTTAAAGAAAAAACAAAAAAAAACTGATCGAATATGCTTCGATTATTCCGAACTGTCGTTCTCGTCTTGATTATAACAGATGTTGTTACAGATATAACGTTTCAGGTAAGTACACTCTGGCTATCATCAGTTACTGACTTTTTGGCTATGTGTTTGTTTTTAGCCTTTTTTTTTTCTTCCTTATTGCTGGGAGCCGGTGACCGTCCATAAATATAGAAATACGTTCCGCTCGCTCTGATGTCATTAACCACGCCTAGATTCCCCCCCAAGGTCTTTAGTAAGGGGTGTCATTTGGCTAAAAATCATGTTTCTCATTATTTCTCAGAAATAATTCAGAAAATACGATTTTCCATTTTTCTTCCTCAAAAATAAATAGAAGAAAGTTTGCGCCAAACGACTCTACATCATCATCATCATCATCGCCATCATCGCCATCATCATCATCATCATCGCCATCATCATCATCATCATCATAATCATCATCATAATCATCATCATCGCCATCATCATAATCATCATCATCATCATCATTATCCTTCGACCTCCCTATGACTGGTCGGAACTCCGTTGACAATTCCTTTCCACCCTAGTCGGTCCTCTATTGCTTTCCCCGGATCCTCAATGTCCAGCCCTGTGTCTCGAGCTATCGTGTCCGGGGAAAGTCAATTTTCCTGAGAAGACAATTCCAGAAGGTTGCCCTGGGAGTAAGGATGAGACGATTTCCCTGTCCGCTCGGTGGCAGTGGCCCGCAAATTGTTATCGTTTTTGTTTCAGCTGAAGAAAGATTGGTTTCGGTTCTCCGTAAATTGTGTTAAGTGCTGGATGGGATCTACATAGCCAGTCTCTTCTTCGAAGCAAAATTGCTGATACACAAACCAACAGTGGCTAAGGAGTTCAGGACAAAGGTAAAACTGTGTTTTGGAGTTATTTCGCAGTGAAGGCTTCTATTTGTATTAAGTGGGTCATAAAATAGGTTCGACGTACAAAACGTTAGGAACTTGATATAATAGGTATTACGCAGAGTAATCTTGTTGTGGTCACTGATACTTTCGTATTCGACTAACTGCCGTCCGACATCGACTGACCCTCGTTTCTCTTACTACTCCTACTTATTTTAGGTTGGCGAGTCTATTAACTATAGAATAGGTGTGTTTCACCATAACAAACTGAAAGGTTTATTTTATTGCACAAGACCAGAAACTAATTCTGCATAACTACCAAGCAAATATGTTGCACAATACAGACGCAAAATGTAGTTTCTGTGACCAATACATTGAAATTTGATCACTTTATCTCCGGATGCTCAGTACTAACACCAATGAGCAGAAAAATTGTCATGACCTGGAAGATTTGTCAACATTACGGGATAAAAAACAGCTGTTAATTGGTATGGACATCATCCTGAATATGTAATTGAAGGAACAGATCTTATCATCCTCTGAGATTTTTCTATCAACACAGATCGATCAATGCAAGCAAATCTTCCAGATATTATAAAAACATAAAAGAAAAAAAGTTTGCCCACTGATTTGCATGAGTGTAAAATTGTGACAAAAAACATATCTGTGAAGGTTTTTGTAAATCTAAACAAATACAAAAAACTGGAGATAGAAATAGAAAAAAAAATTTGCCACTTAAAACTAAAACTGCTGCTGTTGTGGTTGGAGCTTTGGGTCTGATAAGAAAAGGAACTCAACAACACATCAACAAAATCCCAGATGCGACACCTATCCAGGAAATCAAAACATAGTTCTAACAGTCACAGTCCATGATATGGGATGACTTTTGTCCATATATAGTTTTTTAGTTAATAGCTTTCTTTTGTGTCATTAAGTGGAAGTAAAAAAAAAAAATAATAATCACCAGTCATAGGTCATTGGTTATGGCCCGGCATGTGATTGTGAAATAAATACAAATCAAAAACAAATTTTAAAATAATAATAATAATAATAATAAACTGTACTCACAATTACAGCCCACACCTTACGAAAGGCTTTATCTCTGTAAAATATCTGTGATCTTAGGTGCTTGTTTTTTTTCAGAAAATGCTCAGTGCAAAATATCATGAAGCCATTTCTGATCTTAGTTCTCAGGTTTAGACTTGAAAGAAAATGTGCATACAACAGAAATCAATAATAATAATAATAATAATAATCGGATGATTTAAATACAAATAAATAAGTTGGTATTTTTTAAGCAATTCTCTCCAAGTAAAGCGGGAATGCTACTGGCATGCAAGGGGTTACAGAGGATTGAGAACAAGAGTAAAGAGGCGTGATCGGGTATAGGATACAGAGAAGAACAGAAAACAATCTCAGTGAGTCAGATGTCGATTGACATTACGCTTGAATATTGAAGATTATAGTCATCGGTAAACCAAGTAAGGGGAAGAGAGTTCCACAGACGGGAAGTGCGAGAGAAGAAGCTGTTGGAGTAGAAGAGACGACTATATTTTATCGTTTTGACTGCCTTAAACGGGTATTGACCTCACACTCTTTGGGTCCTGTCACTGGATCTAACTAACGCATTTATCGATTGTGCCATGTGTCCTTGAGTTCCATACCCAGATAAGGCAGTGAAGAACTTGCAGAGGGGAATTAACAGGAGATAACTGATAACTGACATTAATTAAACATGGCATGTGGAACTAGAGCAGTCTACCCCAGTGAGCGAAATAAAGGGTCCAGTTCGACATTCCAACCACCTGAAGAAGGTCGGGGCATACAACAGATACTGAACGGCCGAAACGTTGTGATAAATATGTGAACAAAGATGAGGACAATAGTCCGAATAATGTAAATAATGTACATAATACCTCATCTCAGAAATATAGACAAATACTGAAGGGCCGAAACGTTGTAATGAATATGGCGACAAAGATGAGGACAACAGATAATGGGTTATTTCATGCTCAAATTTTATTTTCTTGTGAGCTTTGCCATTTTTTTTTTCAAAAATGTATTGCTGGTAATCTTTATTTTTAAAAAACATTTTACTATGAAAATGCATCGCTACTAATTTTTATATTGTACTGTTTTTACCTCAGTTTGGAGGTTTACTATTTAATTAGAGTTGGGTCCCTAACAGGTGCTACCACCCTACTAGGAGCAGTGTCGAAGTCAAACGAACATCACTCCACTATATTTCTATAGAAGGCAAGGCAACTCACAAAAATAAAAGCTGTGGAGATATATCATAGCCTAGGCACGGGAATGTGACAGAGGGGAATTGGCTTACACAAACGCAAGTGCGGGGAAACAAGTAACCTACAGAAATACACGGATGTCAACACAATCACGCACCCACATCACACAAAAAGAAAAAAGTATTTTCTTTGAATTTCGCTTGTTTTCTTTTGTTTTTTTTTGTTTTTTGTTTTGGTTTACACAGCTTTTATATGTGTCAGTTATTTTATTTATATTAATCTGTATTTTATATGAGGCTAATTTATTGTTAAACTTTCACGAAAATGTAAGAAACCATTTAAAAAAACAAACAATGCATTATATTTAGATGCGCAGCTAATTTCATGGGAGGCAACTCAATATGTTTTCTGTAGAATTACTTCCCTTGAACAGGGCGAATTTTCTTTTATAGTGATTATTCTTAGAGCTGATTTGACTCAATGTAGTTTTTCAGGACGTAGGAAATCATGGCTCTCCACATTTTCCTGTTCCATATAGCACTTAAAAAGATTTTTCTTTCTGTTCTTTACTTAAAACACTGTTCAAGCTTACTGAGAAATAAATGAAACAAACTATGAAAGAAAAGGTGAAAGAAAGAAAGAAAAAAACGATGAAAGAGGAGGTGAAAGAAAGATAAGATGAAACAGAAGGAGAAAGAAACGATGAAGGAAAAGGTGAAAGAAACGATGAAAAGGAGAAAAGAAACGATGAAAGAGAAGATGAAAGGAACGATCAAAAAGAAAGAGAAAGAAACGTTGAAGGAGTAGTTGAAAAGAGTCGATGAACACGAAGGAGAAAGAAACGATAAAGGAGAAGGTAAAAGGGACGATGAAAGAAAAGGAGAAAGAAATGAAGAAGAAAAGGTGAAAGGAAAGAAGAAAGGGAAAATGAAATATTGAAGAAAATGTTAAGGGAAAGATGAAAAGGAAACGATGAAAGAAAAGATGAAAAAAACGATGAAATAAAAGATGAAAAAAGATGAAAGAAAAAGGAGGAAGAAACGATGAAGGAGATGGGGAAAGAAGTGATGAAAGAAAAGAAGAGAGAAATGATGAAGAAAAGGTGAAAGGAAAGATGAATAGGAGAAAGAAACGATGAAAGAGAAGGGAACGATGAAGTATAAGGCGAATGGAACGATGAAAGAGAAGAAGAAAGAAACGACGAAGAAAAAGGTGAATGAAACAATGAAAGAGAAGAAGAAAAAAACGACGAAGAAAAAGGTGAATGGAACAATGAAAGAGAGGAAGAAAGAAACGACGAAGAAAAAGGTGAATGAAACAATGAAAGAGAAGAAGAAAGAAACTATGTAAAAAAAAAGTTGGAAAAAATGATATAAAGAAGAAATAATCGAGAAAAGAGATGAAAAATCGATGAAAGAGAAGGAAAATAAACAATGAAGGAGGATGTGAAAGAAACTATAAGAATGATGTAAGAAACGATGAAAGGGAAGATGAAAGAAACGTTGAAAGAGAAGGAGAAAGGAACGATGAAAGAGAAGGAGAAAGAAGCGATGAAAGAGAAATTGAAAGAAACGTTGACTGAGAAGATGAAAGGAACGAGGAAAGAGAGGGCGGAAGAAACGATGAAGGAGAAGGTGGAAGAAACGATAAAAATGATGAAAGTAAACATGAAAGAGAATGAGAAAGAATCGATCGTTCCTTTCACGTTTTCCTTCATCGTTTCTTTCTCCTCTTTTATCGTTTCTTTCCTTCACTTTCTCTTTCATAGATTCTTTCTCTCTCTCTTTCATCGTTTCTTTCGCCTTCTCTTTTATAGTCTTTCTTTCACAGTCTCTTTATCGTTTCCTTTTCCTTCACTTTTATCGTTTCTTTCTCCTTCTCTTTAATCGTTTCTTTCTTTCACCTTCTCCTTCATCGTTTCTTCCTCCTTCGCTTCCATTCTTTCTTTCTCTTTCTCTTACACCGTTTCTTTCATTTACTTTCTGTTTTATATTTCTTGTCGCCTTCTTCTCTATCTTCGTTTCTTTCTCCTTCTCGTTAATCGTTTCTTTCCTTCACCTTCTCATTCAACGTTTTTTTTCTTTCATCGTTTCTTTTTTTCACTTTTTCTTTGTCTTATTCATTCATCGTTTCTTTCAACTTATTTTTCTTTCATCCTTCTTTTCTACTTCTTATACTTCGTTTCTTTATTTCTTCTCTTTCATCGTTCTTTTCCTTCACTTTCTCTTTCATAGTGGATTTCTCCCTCTTTTCATCGTTTCTTTCTTGTGTTTTCTTTTTCATCGTTTCTTTCGCCATCTCTTTCATCATTACTTTCTTTTTTCATTTCTTTTATCGTTTTTTCCTTCTCTTTTTCATTCATCGTTTCTTACTCTTTCTCTTTCATCTTTTCTTTCTTTCGCCGTATCTCTCAGCAATTCTTTCTCCTACTCTTTTATCGTTTGTCCTTCTCATTCATCGTTTGTTTCTCCTCCTCATTCATCGTTTTTTTTTCGCCTTCTTTTTCTTCGTTTTTTTTTCTCTTTCATTTTCATCGTTTCTTTCATTTTTTCTTTCACCATTTCTTTTTTTCTCTTCCTTCGTTTCTTTCATCTTCCCTTTCGTCGTTTCTTTCTCCTTCTCTTTCGTTCTTTCTTTCTCTTTCTCTTTAAGCATTTCTTTCTTTCACCTTCTCCACCATCGTTTCTTTCTCCTTCAATTTCATTGCTTCTTTCTCCTTCTCTTTCGTCTCATCATTCATCGTTTATTTTCCCTTATCTGTCAACATTTCTTTTCTTCACTTTCTCTTTTATCTTTTCTTTTTCCCTCTCTTTCTTCGTTTCTTTCTTTCACCTTCTCTTTCGTCGTTTCTTTCTCCTTTTCTTTTATAGCTTCTTTCTTTTTCTTTTTTATCGTTTATTTCTGTTTTTTATATCATTGTTTCTTTCTCCGTTGTTTTCATTGTTTGATTCTCTTTTTCATTCAGAGTTCCCTTTCTGTTTTTGTTTCTTTTCGCAGCACAATTTTTCTTCAAATGTTATGTCTCTTCAAGACACAAGCGATCATGGCTCTCCACAGATCCCGTTTGTATTATCCTGGAATTACCATGCCACTTTGTTATAATGGTAATGTGGTTCCACCGTTTTGAATTCAGTTTTCCCTTCGCCCTTACGTCATTGCCACTCCAGACTTTAGAGATAGTCTGTATTATGCTATTTAACATATATTTCGCGGGGGCGTATAGGACGTAGAAAAGTATTAATGCCTTTCATTCTTTCTCTTTTTACTTTAATACCTTCTATCACTCTCAGTTGCATGTTCTTTCTTTCTTTCTTTCTGTTTATATTTCTTTCTTTCTCTCTTTCTTTCTTTCTTTCTTTTTTCTTTCTTTCTTTCTTTCTTTCTTTCTTTCTTTCTTTCTTTACCTTCATTGTTTGATTTCCTCTTTTTGTCTCCTTCTCCTGCTCCTTCGACACAATTCTAATTTATCTTGATCATTGATACTTTGAAAGATTCTTACACCATTTTCTATCACCCTTCTCTTTTCTTTCAGTTGCCATTCTTTCTTTCTGTCTGTCTTTCTTTCTTTCTGTTTATATTTCTTTCATTCTTTCTTTCTTTCTTTCTTTCTTACTGTCTGATGGCTGTCTTTTTTTTTCTTTCTTTCTTTCTGTTTATATTTCTTTCTTTCTTTCTTTCTGTCTGTTTTTCTTTCTTTTTTTCTTTTTATTTCTTTCTTTCTGTCTGTTTTGCTTTCTGTCTTTCTTTCTTTCTGTTTATCTTTCTTTCTTTCTTTCTTTCTCTCTCTCTCTTTCTTTCTTTCTTTCTTTCTGTCTTTCTTATCTTCATTGTTTGATTTCTTCTTTTTGTCTCCTTCTCCTGCTCCTTCGACGCAATTCTAATTTATCTTGATCTTTGATACTTTCAAAGTTTCTTACACCATTTTCTATGCCCCTTCTCTGTCTGTCTGTCTGTCTATCTTTCTTTCTGTTTATATTTCTTTCTTTCTTTCTTTCTTGTTTTCTTACTTTCTTTCTGTCTGTTTGTCTTTCTTTCTTTCTTTCTGTTTGATGCCTCTCTTCTTTTTTTTCTTTTTACTTTTTTCTCTCTTTCTTTCTTTCTTTCTTTCTTTCTTTCTTTCTTTCTGTCTTTCTTTCTGTTTGTCTTTCTTTCTTTCTGTTTATATTTCTTTCATTCTTTCTTTCTTTCTTACTGTCTCTTTGTCTTTTTTTCTTTCTGTCTGATGGCTGTCTTCTTTCTTTCTTTCTTTCTTTCTTTCTTTCTTTCTTTCTTTCTTACTTGCCCACTCTCCTTCGACACGGTATCTATTCCTCTTTTTCACTTAAAAAAAATGAAATAATGTCCTCCGGCCGAGTAAAGTATTCGATTAGGTCGGTAGATATTAATTTCATTTTTTCCATTAAAAACAAGCTAAACAATTTTGAATATATACTGAAACACATGGACCTATTAAATATTAACGCAACAAATCAACTCGCAACACTAATTCAACGTCGATTTGAAGAGGTGGTTACATTTAAATGTTTCAACGATGAAAGGGTGGGGCCGAGATGCCAACCTAGTAGTACGCTTAAATTCATGCAGTTGGGCTGCCTGTGAAAGTAGCTCGTCTGAGCAGTTGCCTTGAAAGACAGAAGGAAGTCACAACTCGTCTGTGAGAAAGTGATGGTAGCCTTTAAGCCAGACCAGATCACATGGCATCATCCGTCTGTGGATTTTGGGCTCAATATCACGGATAGAGCTTATGTGAAGATAAAGTTGGAATTGGCGAGTTCATTTTTCGCTGTAACTTCTCCTCCTCACATTTAATAGGTACACATTTTTGTGCATAACTCCTTTGATGTTTTGTTTTATCTTAATAGAGAAATTAATGTCTAATGGCTTCGAGCTCTTAATAGGCCGGTAGACGTGAATAAATAAATATCAATTTTTACTGTTTTTTTCTCTCTCTGCGTCTTTGATACATTACTCCTCCTCAGTCTTTTCTTTTTACTCTTTCTACTTTTATACATCCTGTCTCTCTCTCTCCGTCATACGTCCGTTCGTTATCTCTTTCTTTCTTTCTTTCTTTCTTTCAATTTTTTTCTTATATTGTCTTCTTTCTTTTCCAGATGTTTTTCTCCTTTCGTCTCTCTTTCTATTTACCTTATTTTCTTTAAGCATTTTCTCATTTTCCTTTCTTTCTTTCGTTCTTTTTCTTTCTTTCTTTCTTTCTTTCTTTCTTTCTTTCTTTCTTTCTTTCTTTCTTTCTTTTGCTTTCTTTCGATGTTTTCATATATTCTCTTTTTCTTTTTTCCAAATTTTCTTTTCTCCTTTCGTCTCACTTTCTATAAATACATATATATACAGTGTAACCCAGATATAAGAGACCCGGATATAAGAGACCCGGATATAAGAGAGATTTTCTCTGGTCCCAAATTAGAGCCTGTGTTAATGTAAACAAAATAGACAAAACCCGGATATAAGAGAAAGCCGGATATAAGAGACTTCTTCTCCGGTCCCGACAACTCTCTTATATCCGGGTCACACTGTATACACACTTTTAACACACACACACACATATTTTTAAATATAACAGACAATAAATGTCTACTATATCTGATTTCGTATGTAATGCGTTAAAACCCACATTTCTCAGCTGTGTTTCGTACCTCAGTGTTAGGGTCTCTGACTGATGACAAATCGGTCGAGTTTCGATCCCGGCTTGAAGCAATAGCACGTCTGGCCACACGGGTGCGCTGTGATACAGCGAAATATGCTTATATATATATATATATATATACGCACACGGTTTGATAGAAAAGTAACTCCACATTTTAAAATACCTATAATTTATTTATTACTATAATTTTTACAATAAATTGATATGAGAGGAAAGCGTTTAGCATGAGGTTTTATTTCAAATTCATTATGAGCATCCATTTTTTGCTACCAGGAATTCGCGTCAATTGATTTCACCAGAAACTCTTGTGGTATGAAATACATAACTTCTATTCACACTTCAAGTTCTTCCAAAGTCTTGGTTAAGTATAAAAGATTTGTTCCAACCCCAAAGAAAAAAAAATTACAGGGTGTTAACTGAGGACTCCTGGCTGGTCACTCATACATAAAATAGGGATTTCAATCACCCTGTACTTGTATACGTCATGTCTGTCTTTTCGTTATTCATCCGTTCGTTCTCCCTTTCTTTCTTACTCTTTTTCTTGCTTTCTTTCTTTCCCTTATCTTTTATTCCCTCTCTTCGGATCTATTTCCTACTTCTTTGACACAATATCAATTTATCTTCTTTCTTTTTTTTTTAAGTGAAATTAACGTCTACCGGCCTATTAAGAACTCGAAGCCAATAGACATTAATTTCTCTATTAAGGCTAAAAAAGGAAACAACTATATATGCGCAAACACGTGTAGTCATTAAATAGGAACGGGAAAAGGGTAGAGTGAAAATTGAACTCGCCTCGCCAATCCCACGTCAATAAGATTTACGCCACTCTCAAGAATTAATAGGAATTGCTGTTATTATTTTTCCTTTCTTTGAAATGTAACTCTCCCCCGGTCTTTTTTGCTTTCTTTTTTCGTTAATCTGTCCTTCTCTCTCCGTTGTACGTACTTTCTTTCTTTCTTTCTTTCTTTCTTTCTTTCTTTCTTTCTTTCTTTCTTTCTTTCTGTTTATATTTCTTTCTTTTTTTCTTTCTTTCTGTTTTCTTTCTTTCTATTTTCTTTTTTTCTTTCTGTCTTTCTTTCTTTCTGTTTATATTGCTTTGTTTGTTTCTTTCTTTCCTCCTTTCCGTCTTTCTTATCTTCATTGTTTGATTTCCTCTTTTTGTCTCCTTCTCCTGCTCCTTCGACACAATTCTAATTTATCTTGATCATTGATACTTTGAAAGATTCTTACACCATTTTCTATCACCCTTCTCTTTTCTTTCAGTTGCCATTCTTCCTTTTTTCATTCTTTCTGTCTGTCTGTCTGATGGCAGTCTTCTTTTTTTCTTTCTTCCTTTCTTTCTTTCTTTCTTTCTTTCTTTCTTTCTTTCTTTCTTTCTTTCTTTCTGTCTGTCTTTCTTTCTTTCTATTTATATTTCTTTCATTCTTTCTTTCTTTCTTACTGTCTGATGACTGTCTTCTTTCTTTCTTTCTTTCTTTCTTTCTTTCTGTCTGTCTGTCAGTCTTTCTTTCTTTCTGTTTATATTTCTTTCATTCTTTCTTTCTTTTTTACTGTCTGATGACTGTCTTCTTTCTTTCTTTCTTTCTTTCTTTCTGTCTGTCTGTCAGTCTTTCTTTCTTTCTGTTTATATTTCTTTCATTCTTTCTTTCTTTCTTACTGTCTGATGACTGTCTTCTTTCTTTCTTTCTTTCTTTCTTTCTTTCTTTCTTTCTGTCTGTCTGTCTGTCAGTCTTTCTTTCTTTCTGTTTATATTTCTTTCATTCTTTCTTTCTTTCTTACTGTCTGATGACTGTCTTCTTTCATTCTTTCTTTCTTTCTTTCTGTCTGTCTGTCAGTCTTTCTTTCTTTCTGTTTATATTTCTTTCATTCTTTCTTTCTTTCTTACTGTCTGATGACTGTCTTCTTTCTTTCTTTCTTTCTTTCTGTCTGTCTATCAGTCTTTCTTTCTTTCTTACTGTCTGACGGCTGTCTTCTTCTTTCTTTCTTTCTTTCTTTCTTTCTTTCTTTCTTTCTTTCTTTCTGTCTGTCTGTATGTCTGTCATTTAATTCTTTTTTCTACATTCCTTTATTTTCGCTTCCTTTCATTTGACCTCTTCCACACTTTCGTTTTTCCTAAACTCGATCTTGATAATTTTTCTTTCTTTTTCTCTTTGTTATTGCCTCTCTCTCTC